ATAAAGGGCTAGTATTCAAAATCTATAAAGAACTTCTTAAACTCAACACCCAAAGAACAAATGATCCAATCAAGAAATGAGCAGAAGACACGAACAGATGGCTTCCAAAGAAGACATCCAAATGGCGAACAAACACATGAAGAAGTGCTCAACAGTGCTCAGCATCAGGAAAATCCAACTCAAAACCTCAATGAGATACCACCTCATACTAGTCAGAATGGCTAAAATTAACAAGTCAGGAAACGACAGATATTGGCAGGGATGCGGAGAAAGGGGAACCCTCCTACACTGTTGGTGGGAATGTAAGCTGGTGCAGCCACTCTGGAAAACAGAATGGAGTTTCCTCAAAAAGTTGAAAATAGAGCTACCCTACGACCCAGCAATTGCACTACTGGGTATTTACCCCAAGGATACAAATGTAGGTATCCGAAGGGGTACGTGCACCCCGATGTTTATAGCACCAATGTCCACAATAGCCAAACTATGGAAAGAGCCAAGATGTCCATCGACAGATGAATGGATAAAGATGTGGTATATATATACAATGGAATATTATGCAGCCATCAAAAGGAATGAGATTTTGCCATTTGCAACGACGTGGATGGAACTGGAGGGTATTATGCTGAGCGAAATAAGTCAATCAGAGAAAGACATGTATCATATGACCTCAGTGATATGAGGAATTCTTAATCTCAGGAACCAAACTGAGGGTTCCTGGAGTGGTGGGACGGCGGGTGGGATGGGGTGGCTGGGTGACAGACATTGGTAAGGGTATGTGCTATGGTGGGCGCTGTGAATTGTGTAAGACTGTTGAATCACAGACCTGTACCTCTGAAACAAATAATACATTTTATGTTAAAAAAAAAAAAAAGAAGATATTCAGTAAGGTAAAATGAAGGGGGGGAAATCGGAGGGGGAGACGAACCATGAGAGATTATGGACTCTGAGAAACAAACTGAGGGTTCTAGAGGGGAGGCAGTGGGGGGATGGGTTAGCCTGGTGATGGGTATTAAAGAGGGCACGTATTGGATTGGATGGAGCATTGGGTGTTATACGCAAACAACGAATCATGGAACACTACATCAAAAACTAATGATGTATGGTGATATGGTGATTATCATAACACAATAAAATTTTTTTAAAAAAGTGTGTAATGCTTCACAAGTCACGTTGAAAGAATTTCACTACCAAAAGGAAATCAATAACCTCAAATGCAGAAGTCAACAACACTGAAAATAAACTGTTATGACTAAAGTTGAGTAGTAGCATTTCAAAACCATTTTTGGGGGGAAATGCTGAGAACAGAAGCCAGAATACTGACAAGTAAAAGAGCTTCCAAGTGATAATATCTTAAGGAAGAAATGTGGGTAAGAAAAGAGGCAAAGAAAAATAAAATCAAGTAAATTTCAGTGTACCCACTGAGCTAAAATCTTTACATAGTAAGTTGCAGACAGTATTATAAGAAAGCATGAGTTTAAAAAAAAAAAAACTTGAAATGAATACAGATAACTGATTAAAGATGTTTGAGAAGAGATGAAAGTTGTCAGAAATAGGGAAGATAACTAATTAGGCAGGAAACCCCATTAAAGGAATCCTCACACACATCTTCAAAATGTGCCTCCCAAGGCAAGAATCAGAATCAGAATCCAGATAAAAGGCAGTTGCATCTCCTATGAGACTGGTTACTCTCTGAGCTTAGTCTGGTGCTAATTTCATGTTGATCTGAATTTGAGTTGTCTAGTATTTCTCTTTAGCGAAAATAAAGGTATGCTAACATCTCTGAAGATGGCTATACTGAAAATAATTCTGAAAATACTGTACTAGAACAAACACTGAAGCAATATGATCTTTCAAAAATCACCTTTTTCACCAATTATAAGCACAGCTGGATAAGTTTTGACAAATATATACTACTACTACTACAATCAAAAGCATATCCATCACCCCAAAAAGTTCCCTCATGTTACTTTGCAGTCAACATCCCCTCATTCCAGCAATCACTGATCTGCTGTCATAGATTGGACTGCCTTTTCTATAATTTCATATAAATGAAACCATACAAAACGTACTCTTATGTCTGGCTTCTTTAACTCAGTATGTTTTTGATTGATCCATGTTGTTGCATGTATTAACAGGCTATTCCTTTTTATTGCTGAGTAGTATTCGCATATATTTTCAAACAACAGATAAGCTTCTTACATATTATGATTTCCATATGATCCAACTATGTGGAACATTTCATAATTTAAAACCCAACACACATTCATAATTCATAAGCGATACATCAGAAATAAAGCAATAAGTCCCAGATTCTGCAAATAGTAAATAACCAAAGACAGTTGGTAATTTATACTGTGAATAATGCTTTATTAGAGATTTATAATAATGGTATTAATTCTGAAATCTTTCCCTTAATGTTTAGTTTCTGTTTAATCTTTAGTTAGGGGATGTCCTTAATTTGGTCGACATTATACTGAGGCTCCAGGTCCCTATCAACTGTACAGAAATCAAACAACCTAAGAGTTAAATATTTCAAACCCCATGGGAAATAAGTACAGAAAGTAACATAGAATTTGCTTTAAGTCACAGGAAATAGTTTTATTAATCCTCAATGAAAGCATTATAGAAATTTATAAAATGAAGCAAAAATCTATTAAGCACATACTATGTAATTCTGTTGAAAAACTGTCTCAATCAGTTATCAAACAACATTGATTAAACTAGACTTTAGGATTAATCATAGCTTTAGACATCATAGAAAAAAAGACATTTTATTGCATAGAAGATAAACGCAAAAGAAGAAGAAAAAATAATCTAATTCTCAACACTAACCACATACCTGATATAAAATGCTTGACAAGATCTGAGGGCCTAATTTTACTTTCCAATCAGGTAAGATATGGAATTAGTTACTTTATTTTATTTTTAAAGATTTTATTTAGTTGACAGAGAGAGAGAGACAGCAAGAGAGGGAACACAAGCAGTTAGGAGTAGGAGAGGGAGAAGCAGGCTCCCTGCTCAGCACCCGATGAGGGACTCGATCCCAGGACTCTGGTATCATGACCTGGGCCGAAGGCAGATGCTTAATGAATGAGCCACCCAGGCACCTTGGAATTAGTTATTTTAGAATGGGCCAAATTTTGAGTCATTCCTTGTCATTCAGGAGATAGTACGCTCTACTTTCAAGTAAAGTAGATAGTGCAGCACAAAAAGGGTAAAGTATAATTTTAAAGATAAATTTATATTACTAAAAACAGTATAATATACTATTACAGAATTAGAAAAAGTGACTCTTACTGAATTATTAATATGTAATATGAAAAATGTGAAAGCCAGGACAGAACACACATATCTATATAAAACAAACTTTTATTCAAATCATAACTTTGGGGGAAAAGAAGCAAAAAAGGTAATCAAGTCAATTTGACAAATCTATTCAACACCTAAATACCAAGTTTAATGAGCTTGGGTCAAGGAAATTCACAATTTAAAGACAGGTTGACTAAAAGTTGATTGGATAACATTTAAAATTATAATACAGAGGAATAAAAGTATATTCATTTTTTTACTGCTGGGTAACAAATTACCACAAACTTAGTAGCTTAAGGCAATACCCATTTATTATCTCACTGTTTCCTTGGCTCAAGAGTCTGGATGTGGGTAGCTGGGTCTCCTGCTCAGGATCTCACCAGGCAGCAATGAAGGCATCAGCCAGAACTGCAATTCTCATCTGAGGCTCAGAATCCTCTTTCAAGTTCACTGGATCCTGGCAGAATTCATTTCCTTGTGGCCATAATGCTAAGGTCACCACTTTCTTGCTAGTTGTTGGCCAAAGGGGACTATCAACTTCTAAAGGCCACCTATACTTCCCTGCAACATGAATGTTTGCTTTTTTCCAGGCCAGCAGAAGCATGTCTCTCAGACTTTCTTCTCCCATTCCAGTCTGCTATGAGGGAATTTCATCAAATGTCAACAGTAATCACAGGAGTGACTATCCCATCACCACTTACCACTAACAAAACCTAATCAAGAGAGCTACAATACCACCCTATTCATAGGGTTCTGCCAAGGGGAGGGAATACAAGGTATCTACACCAGGAATCAGAAATTTGGGGGACCATCTTAGAATTCAGCCTACCACAGATATGTAAAGGATGCTACAAGAGCAGGAGAGGAAATATAAGGTTCAGATAAGCAGAACAAAGAAAGAAACAGGAAGTTAAACCTATGAGTCCTTGCTAGTCACACTCCAGGCATTGTTCTTGAAATTTTTTTCTTTTCTTTCTTTTTTTTTTTTATTAAGAAGTTAAGGCTCAGAAAACAAGTAACTTGCCCAAGGTTAAAGAGTCTAGATCTACCCAAAAGAAATATCAATTAATATATCTAGATAAATGATTAGCTAGGTAATCTGCTATCTAGGTAAATCACTGGATGTGGTATTGACAGTAGATCTAGACTCTTTAACCTTGAAGTGAAGGGAGGGGTGCCATCAAGTAAAGAGAAACACAGTGCAAAGACAGAGATTAGGCAGGCTACACATAATAAGAAAATTACAAGTATGGTCTTTAGTTCAGCCTCACTTGAGCCCATAGCGTGTGGTAGGGAATGGATGGAGATGAACTTAGAGAAATAGGCAGGGGCCAGACGAACAAGGATCTTAAGGAAACTTAATCTGTAAGGCTAGATGAAGCAATAGAAGGATTTTAGGGAGAGGTGTGACAAATTTTATTTGATTTTAAAAAGATTCTTCTGGAAGGAATCGTATATCATAGCCTTCACATCAAACTTCTTAAACAATTTAACAGTGTCAGATATTAGTTATCAATACAAATTATGTATCAAATACATGTAGGAAAACTAAGAACTTGTAATAGATGAAGAATTCTAGGTAAAAAGTTAATACCTCCCCCCCCAAAGCCAGTTATATACATTTCAAAGAGCAAGGTGAAACTGGAGGAAAAAACCGCAGTAGTGTAACCACATGGGTATCAAATGCCTACCTTTACTTCACCACTTCCACCAGTACTTAGCACGTTTCTCCATCCTTGTTCCCTGGCCCTATTTATTCTCTCCAACTTTTGGGGAAAAGAAACAAACAAAACACAATGCAAGTATTTAATATAAAATACATGAAATACATTTATTAACACAATGGAAATCAGTGTATTCCTTTAGGGAAAAAAAAGTATGTGTGTGGGGAAGGGGTAGGATGTACCATGGAAAAATGGATTATCCTCTTACCCTTTCCTTTTCCTGTCTTTTCATCTGCTCGGCCTTCATTAAACTAATCTGTAACAATTTTAAAGACAAACTTCTTAGAACTCTTGAAACTATTATCATCTACAACTTGGCAAGGAAAGAAAAAAAGCAAAAAAACTACCTGATCCTTTTGTTTCTTTTCTTTTTCAATAAATTCCAACCTTCTCTTTCTTGCTGCTTCCTTAAATAAAAAAGAACATTTTTATCAATAGTAATTCCTACTTTTTCTAGTTTCATTAGGAAAGTTAGTATACCAACGGTAGAGGTAGGCCCAGGGAGATTAGGAAGGGAAAAAAAAAGGATTAAGTTAAAGGTTTATTTGTTTGAAAGAAATAAGGAGGAAAGGTTTGGAGGTTTTATAAGATTTTGTTTCTTTTCTTAGAATTGTTTTTGTAAAGCTTTAAAATAAGCAGACAGATGTCTTTATACCTCAAACATTTTCCTCCTTTCTTCTCCAGGATTCATTTTCTTCACTGGAATTTGATGGGCCTGGACAAAAAGTAAAACTACAAATTAGATAAGAATTTTGAGGTACATATTTGAACAATTCAAATTTGTGGAAATTTAAAATAAGGAAAAGGTGAAGGCAAATACTGCCATGACTCTGTTTCAAAATATATTATCCCTACAATAATACAATAATAGTAAGGAACTTTTAACACCTACTTACATCAATGGATAGATCATCCAGAAAGAAAATCAACAAGGAAACAGCTTTTAAAATCACACTAGACCAGATGTACCTAACAGATACATACAGAACACTCCATCCAAAAACCTCAGAATACACATTCAAGTGCACATGCAACATTCTCCAGAATGTTAGGCCACAAAACAAGTTTCAATAAATTCAAAAAGATTAAAACTATATCATGCATCCTTTCCAACCACAATGGTATGATTTTAGAAATCAATCACAAGAAAAACTGTGGAAAGAACACAAATACAGGGAGCTAAATAATAAGCTACTAAACAATGAATGGGTCAACCAAGAATTCAAAGAGAAATAAAAAAAATACATGTAAACAAATGAAAATGAAAACACAACAGTCCAAAATCTTTGGGATAAAGCAAAAGCTGTTCTAAAAGGGAAGTTTAGAGCAATACAGTCCTACCTCAAGAAACAAGAAAAATCTCAAATACAAAACCTAACCTTATACCTAAAGGAGCCAGAAAAAGAACAAGGCCCAAAGCCAGGAAATAATAAAAACTGGAGCAGGAAAAAACAAACAAACAAAATATATATATATAATCCCTAAAAATAAAAGAATGACTGTAGTGTTCGATATGGTGTTAAACAAAAAGGAACCTTAGATTCAAAGAAACCGTGGAAAAGGGTTCTTCCCCAATCACTAAGTTCTGTCCTCAGATACAGATGTTAATTTTCAGTTTTCTAATATGAAAACAGAATGTCATTTAGAAAGCCCAATATTGAAGAGATAAATTTTTAAAAAGTAGTTATACATGTTCACTATACAAAATTCAAACAATAGTAAAAAGTTAGTCTACTTCACTCTACTTCTAGAGGTAACCAGTCAATATTTTCATGAGTATCCTTCCAAGACACACTTAAATATATACACACTTAAATATATACATAACTGTATACATACACAGAATTTTAGCTTTTTATGCTTCTTACATAAATGTAATAAAAATGTGTTATTAGATGGAAAAATGTTTTTTACTATTAACAATGTTCCTTGACATTTCCACATTGTAGTAAGCAAATTAACAATGGCAATATTCCATACAATGGATATAATTAATTTTAGCATTCCTCTAGGGATGGATAACTGGGTGGTTCCACTTTTTTCCTACTCTATATGCTTTAAGGCACTTTTCTGTACATACATCTTTGTGCCATATGCAAGCCTTTCAGAAGGGCAATTTTTCTAGACATGAAAGTACATGTCTAACACAACTTAAAATGTTGAGAAAAACTGCCCTCCCAAGAGTCTGCACCAATACTCCCACCAAAGAGCTCTTTTACTCACAGTCTCACAAATACTAATTAATCTATCTTGAATTTCTGCTTTTTACAAAGGATAAGAATATCTCCCAGTATAGAGATATTAACATTTCTCTTTTTATATACCAATTGTTCATCTAATTGTGGGGTTGTTCAATTTTAGGAGCTCTTTGCATATTGCAGACAATAAGACTATTACAGATGCTACAAATACTTTCCCCATTCTTTTAGTTGCTGTTTGTTTTATCTTTCACCACACAGAAGTTTGTAATTTATATATGGTTAAATCTGCCAATCTTTTCCTTTGTTTTGCTAAGGAAGAAATTTTAACCTAGATATATTTTGTTTCTGCCTCTTAGTTTCATTTTTATATTTAGATCTTTAATTTATATTTAGATTTTTAAATGTTTGTAGTTAGACTTTTATTTTTAGACCCATCTAAAATAAATTTTTATTCATAATGAGCTGGGAATCTAAGTTTTTTCTAGGATTTCTAGGCAATTCAATTATCCCCTAAAATTTATCGTCTGATACATCTTTTTTCCCACTGGTTTAAAATGCTTCATATATCATATAATAAATTCACACACTCATCTGGGTCAGTTTCTAGAATTCTCTATTCTATTCCACATAACCATCTCCTCTTTTTTTTTTTTTTAAACTGGGATATAAAGTCACCTATAGGAAAGTAGATAAAAGATCTACTTTGAGGTTAGCAAAATAAAGGAAATACCCATGTAGCTACAACTCAAGTCAAACCAACACCCAGAATCCCTCCAAGTGCCCTTCCACAAATTCTACCTCTACCGCAGAGGTAACCACCATCCTGACTTTTTAACTACCATCTTGCTTTTCTTTATTGTTTTGGAACTTACATATGCCTTCCTAAACAATACAGCTTAGTATTTTTCTGATTCTGAGTTTTATATGAGTGGAATTATACAACATGTATTCTTTTGTATCTTGCTTCTGTTGATTAATACTGTTTTGGTGATTTATCTATGTTATTGTTTCTATCTACATTTTTTTTCACTCACATACACTATTCCATTGACCTTGATTCCTTTCTTAATCAGTTATCTTACACCTTTCTCACTAAGTCTATTCTAAAGAATTTCAATGAGTTTGTCACTATTTCTTTCCATTTCATTTGGTAACTGATTATACATTTTTGCATGTGGAATTTGTGTCAGGCTACTTTACTGAATTCATTAATAGTTTTCTGCTGCTTCACAACAATTTTCTAGGTAAGTAAATATATCATCTGTAAATAATGTCTATGTTTTCTCTCCTCTATCAATACTTATGGTTCATATTTCTGTTTTTAATTGCACTGGCTAGGACTTCTGGCCTAATATTAAAAAAAAAAAAAAAACAATCAAGCAATCATAGCAAATATCTTTGTCTTGTTCCTGACTTTAATGGTAATGTTTCCAATTGTTCATCCTTATATACAATCCTTGACATAAGTTTCAGGTTAAGTTTCAGGTATATATAACTGTATCAAGTTAAGAACTTTCCCTTCTATTTCTTGGATCAAAGAAGTTCTTGGTTTGTTGTTTTTTTTTAACTACTTGGAGGTATGATTGACATACAGAAAGTTATACATATTTAATGTATACAACCAAAGAAATTTTTAAAACAAAAATCAGTGAGGGTGCCTGGCTGGCTCGGTTGACAGAGCATACAACTCTTGATCTTGGGTTATAAGTAAGTTCCAGCCCCAAACTTCCTCTAGTTGGAGCTTACCGGTAAGTGGTGTTGGAAAAGATATGTGATCAGAAGTTAAAATGTTCTGTATTATAAAATTAACCCTTTTTAAAAAGTTACATGTTTCAGGTCCAATTTTAAACCAGTATGAGAGAGCTTTAGGATAAAAGAGGTGGAAGGGGACAGGGACTGCTAAAGGCCTTAAGGAAAAACTAGTATGGCCTCTTTTTAGAGATAAGTAAACTATAACCCAGACAGATGAGGTTAAACTAATTATTCCTGGAGCAGGATGAAATCTGAAAAGCTCACCAGGCCTCAGCAATCTTTAAAAAAAAAAACCAGTCTTTAAAAAAAGAAATATATAAAACAAAAATTAGTTTAAATTTTACTGAACTTTTGGTATCTACTGAGATAATTTATATATGGTTTTCTCTTCTAATCCGCTAAGGCAGTGAAATTATAGTAATCATTTTTCTACTATTGAACCATCCCCCTGTATTCCTGAAATGAATCCTATTTGATAATTATTAAATTATTCTTTTGATAAACTGCTTGATTTGTCTTTTTAAAAATAGTTTTTAAGGATTTCTACATGTGTGTTCATAAGAATAACTGACAGATGGTCTTCTTCTCATTTTTATCCTGTGCTAAATACTCAAATTTTGTAATCAAGGTAAAGCCTAACGTATGATCAAATCTTTAAACAATTCAAAATATAATCCTATATAGCAAAAAAGATAAAAAGTATTAACAGGAAACTCTTATCTATCATGTACCAGTTTTTACATTTTTTCAACTACCTTAGGAAAAAAAATGAATATAAAGAACACTGTACAAAACTGTTTACCTTTGTTGAGTTTCAATACAAAGAAAAGCAGATGTTACTTTAAAAAATAACTTCAATGATCATTTACATTATTATCAAAATCATTCAGCATTTTATTGTCATTAAAAAGGTCTTTGGCAACAATTCCATTTTAATAGCAGCTGTCTTTTAGCAAAAGCCAATGTTACTACTTTTATATACCACTCATTGCATCAGTTTTTTAAATTTTATAAAATGATCCAAAGAAGTAAGCACTAACATTCTAAAAGGCAACTCAGAATAAATCAGTGACCCTCAATTAATATGAAGTTAATAAAATAAAAAAAGAACTAAAAAGACACACAAAAGTTTATTTATACTAAAAGAATTCCAAATATCTTTGAAGTTTCTTCTTCAGAAACCAACATGATATATAATTTAAACATAATTTCCTCCTTACAAGATGTAACTTATTTTAATGAATACATTACTTAATATGAACACAATAAAATAATGCTATTTAGAATATGTAACACTACCCCCATGTGTTGATAAACTGATAAAATGAAAATGGTTCTTTTTATAATGTACTTTGTCAATTTAATTCATGATCATCAAAACCAAATCCATTTTAATTTTTTTAATTAATTTTTTAAAAAGATTTTATTTATTTAGTTTTGCAAGAGAGCGAGCGAGTGAGAGAGCGAGCATGAGCAGGGAGGAGGGTCAGAAGAAGCAGACGCCCCGCTGAGCAGGGAGCCCAAGGCAGGACTAGATCCCAGGACCCTGGGATCGTGACATGAGCCGGAGGCAGACACTTAACTGACTGAGCCACCCAGGTGCCCTTAATTTTTTTCTTAAAGTAAGCTCTATGCCCAAGGTGGGGTGTGAACTCACAACCCTGAGATAAAAAAG